CAGAGAAGGGGTCCAACTCTCATCCGAGTCATCCCCATTCTGCAATAGATGAATCCAATGGTGACATAATAAAAGACGCGGTGGAACAGTTTGTTGAAGATCATAACGGTAATGGACCACTACGCAGCAGTTGTGCCCAGGGGGGTATGGATAAAAGTCATGTGAGGGACGAGAACAGGGAACCCCACACCGACGTTGAATCGTCAGGAAGCCGAAATGCGAGCGCAGCCACCGATTGTGACAACAACACGTGGGAAACAAAAGCGTCCAAGGTACATTCGGACGACGTTAACACCAAAAATGGAGAAAACGATTTAGAGGGAGAAAACAGGAAGCAGAAAAGGCCTAGCGATGCGAACAGCGCGGATGTTATCCACACGGAGAATGGCGGCTCCCAAAATATCATGGAACGAAACAGCGTTGTCAGTAACGTCCAAAGGAACCTAATGGAGGACCCACACTTTTTGAAGTCCATAGCCAAGTTTCTCAGGTATAACCCCTTTCTAGACAAAGAATTTGTGGGGGAATACATTTCGCACAGAAAAAATATAAATATTTTGAAGAGTTACGTACGACTTTTTGACTTCTGCAACTTGTCGTTACTGTCCTCCCTGAGATTGTTCTTGTACTGTTTCAAGTTACCAGGAGAAGCTCAGCTAATCGAGAGGATATTAGAACATTTCAGCTTGTGTTTTTTTTATTCCAATCCGATTTGTGGAGATTTAGATAGGGTTTACCACCAAAAGGGTGACAAACTTGAATGCGTGCTGAAGGAGGAAGAGCTGGCCAACACGAAGAGGTACATCTTGATAGATTTCCTCAATGATACCTCTCACGAAGGGGGTAGTGGAAACGGTAGTAATAACCAACCAAATGAGAGCGGCGAGCCGAAGCAAAGAGATGGAGACACACCGCGCGAGAATAAAAAAGGCAGCCCCGAAAAGAAGAAGAAGAAAAAAAAAAACACGTCGCAACAAAGCAGTGTACAGGAAAAAATTAATCTAAAAAAAGATGTCGACATGTATGATTACATTCACAGAAATGTGCACTCCATTTCGAAGAAAATACAATTGATGAGCGAAGAGGAAGTGCAGAAGAAGTACGTCATTGTTGAAAATAGCGACGTTATATTTATATTAACCTATTCGATTATTATGTTGAACACAGATCTGCACAACAATCAGGTAAAGAACAAAATGAAGTTGGAAGAGTTTATTAAAAACAACAGGGGAATAAATAACGGAAAAAATATAGATAGAATATATTTGGAAAATCTGTACAACTGCATATTGCATGAAGAAATTAAGCTGTTCTCCAACACACAGAGCTCCTACACAAATGACAATCAGTACTGGAAGTTACTCGAAAAGAGGAAAGAGCAGTACAAAAATTATCATTCATTTAAGGCAAAGGAGGTGTACTTCTACAAATTTGACATCAATAAATTGTTAATTAAGAATAACTTCATTCCGATTTTTTTCGAAATTTTCAAGCGTACCAGTGATTACAACTTGACAGAAAATTGTCTGAGCATATTCAAGATGGCCATAACAAATTTTGCTTACTACCATGATGTAGAAAACATAAATAAACTGTGTTATATATTTAAATATATCAATTTCTATTTGACGCAGAAATCACAGTCATTACTGTACCTCTTATTTCATCTCATCAAAAGGTGCCACAATTTATTTCGAGACGGATGGGTAATATACATAAATGTTTTGTGCAAATTAATTACCATAGATTTAGTCCCCATCTTTTTTTATCCCCACATGTATATAAACAGTGCCCAATTTAATAACGACAAAGATTTCCTCCACAGAAAGTACAAAAAGGGAAACTGCGTGGAGACATATAATATCAATAAAAGCATAACAGAAATTTATCAGCACCCATTTCTGATATTCAAAAAGAATATTAAAAAAATCAACAAGTCAAAGTGGATTGACGAATTCAGCAGTATATTCTTTTCCAGACATAGCAATAATGAAAATTCCAATTTGTCCATCGTATTTAGGGAAAGTTATTCTGAGAAACTCGATGAAGATAAAAAGAAAAGGAAAAAAAGAAATAAAACACAGGAACATGCACATAACGAAAAAACGAACAACATGCCTACCATGAATGCAGAAATAAAACAAACGGATGAAGGAAACGAAGACGATGATGATGAACATAATGATGACGATGACGAGGAAGATGATAATGATGAAGATAACCTCAACCACATATATGTACACATTAAAGTGGACCCAAAAAATGTCGATAACAGCTCCATTATAGACAATGTCACCATTTATAAAAGATTAAAATTAGATGTTTACAACTTTTTTACCATGAACGATTTTTACAACAATATGATTACCAATTTGAACATCACCAGTTTTGTATACTTGGTCAAAATTTTAATGATTAAGTGTTCCGTTACCAAGCACAGTGAACAGCACAACGCCGCCCAGGGAAGTAGAACCGATCTGCATAACTCCATCCTGAAGATGCAAATTATAGCCAACCACAACCATATGACAAATGATAAGAACGCCGGCATTCATAACACCCACGAAAGTATTAATGACTCCAATCCAGTTTTAATAAACGCGGATAACTCTTTCGATTTGTTTTGCAGCGCGAAGGAAAAACTGCTCACGTCACAAATGCTCTTTCACATTATGTATTTTAAGATTAACTACACCTATGTGTTGTCTAGCATGATCTGTAGAATGGGAAGGAGAAGCACTACAAAGATATTCAAAGAAAGGGCCCCTAAATACAAGTGTGGAAAAATGAGCTCTCCGATAAATTCACTTGTGGAAGAATCCCTAAGGGGAGACACTCATCTAAGCGCCGTAAAGAACGAGGATGATGAAAAAAAGAAGAAAAATCGTTATGACCTCACTTTGAATAATATTTACGACACGGACAATTCAACGAACGTCTCGTCCAGCGACTCAGAATTTAGTGACATATCTAGCGACTCCTTTTTTATAAGAAAGAATGACCTAACTGCTGAAGAAAGTGGAACCTACGTAGATGAAGCTGAGCAACAGAAGGGGGACTCCAAAGAAGAACAGGGCGAGCTGAATAAACACAAGGACGAATTTGATAAGATTTACTCGTACGCCAATGATGACGATAGTAGCAATGAGGACGCCTGTGACGAAGCCAGCTCGGACGACAGCATGGATCCGAGTTTCGATGATAGTAACGACGCCGAAGCGGATTGCGAACCCCCCCCCGCCAGTGGCACGCACAGCGCCAAAACTCACAGCGCAAGCGAAATGATGCACGAGGACATGTCTCCGAGGAGTAACCCGAGGAGCAGCCCGAGCAAGCCCGTCCGAACAGATAAAGGAAACAAGTTTCTAATGGACAAAATTAAGATGGAACTGTACACAAAAACGTACATTATGCACCTAAAAATTACCGTAATCACATTTGAGCACTTCTTTAACCTGCTGAATAAATTCCTCCTAATCAACTATAACAACAGCATCTTCGTGAGCATTTATAACAGCATTTTTAAGGACTACCAAATGGAAGACATAAAATTTGTGGCGGAAGAAGACATGGCAAATGATGAAACATTGTCATACCAGATCTATGAGGAGAATTTCGAAAATATCGACAAAAAGTTACATTACAAGGAGGAAAAGGTAGCCATAAACGACATAGAAAAGAACATGTTTCTTATAAAAATTCCCAAGACGGAAGCAGAAGAGGACTGGCTATTCATTGAGCAGCTCATCATGAGCATCATCAATTTCTCGTACATTTGTTTTAGTATATACAAAGACGACAAGCAGAAAATGAGCAAAAGGGGAACAAACAAATCGAGCAGTGTGCACATCTTTGAAGACAGTAGCTATGCACACCTTAGGGAAAAAAACAGAAAATTTTTCTACCTCTGTGGAATATACCTTATGTACATTTTACAGTTCTTGAAGAAGAACATTCTGTATCGATTCATCGACAAAATAATTTACTTGCTGGAGAAAATCTCGAAGAACGTCTATGTGAATAGCTGCATCATTAATATATACCTACACATGTTGCAGCTCATCACGCCGAACAATATTCTGTACAAAAATACAAACAACACGAACATTTCGTTGAATGATAAAGATATTTATATTTACATTGAAAAGGCAACCATCTACACGGAAAGTATTAACAACATTATTAACAATAATAATGTGCTGCTAAAATTGAACAATTTTAATATTGAAAATATTATTCTCTCCCTTCTTCCATATTTGCTATATTTTAATAACAAGAAGGAAGAAATTAATGTTCATATAGCGTCCATTAATTCAGAGTGCCTTCACATTATTTCGAACATATATTATAAAAGTACCTACATGTATATGAACAACTCGAAGGGTACAAAAAAGGGAGACAACACCAAAGAGGGATCTTCCCCAAATGACAACTATAACTCCAGATTGTGCAAAAAGTACAAGGACGATGTCGATTTTGATAACATCATCGAGTTGAAAAAGATGTACATCTTTCTGCTCATATGTTTTGTTTTGTCCCTGGCCTGCTCCTTCAGCTCCAAGAGAACCAGAAGTGAAGCCTATATAAAACTGCAGCAGTTTCTGTTTAATGAGAATTATATTTTTAAACAAGGGAAAAAAACCAATGGGGACAACTCGCCCAATAGCAGCAATAACAAAAGCGAAAAAAATTGCAAACAGGACAAGTACGTATATAGGGACGAAAAGTTGATAGATTTGATAAGCAACTTTATCATCCTGCCCCTCATCACGTACAATTACTACTTCCCCTTTATATGCAAAAGTGTGCATTGGGTCGAGGCGGCCGAAAAGGGGTGCAAAGAGGCGAAAAGTGGAGCGAAAAATGGAGCAAACATTGGACCGGACAGTGGAGCGGAAAGTTTCATCAACGAAGCCCAGTGTGACCAGACCGAGCAGCGAAACACAGCTGTCCACGCGAAGAACAACTATTGCAAGGAAGCCCTGCTCAATTTCAGCCTGTACAACAAAAGGAACAACGACATATCGAGCAAAATGTGGAAGCAAAACGAATACGAAAACTGCGGCTGTATTATTAATTACAAAAACATGGAGACGGTGGATCAGGACCTAAACGTGCTAACCAATTTGTTCAGCTATGCAAATGATTATTATATACACACCCTGCTACATAAGCAGTACAATTACTACTTCAGCTACCTGTACGCCAAGAAAATGCTGAGCTACGACAACGTCTGCTATAGGAAAAGCATGAGCATAAGCTTCGTGAGCCACATCATTTTGTCGTTCTTGCATTCGTTACTGAATTACGCGGGGGATGGATGCGAGCACAGCAATGAAGGGAAGAAGGAGCCCCATAACGACCGTAACGACCATAACGACCGTAACGACCATAACGACCATAACGATCCGACTTCACCAGATGATTCCAGAGAACCGAATGACATCAACCTGCATGAGCTGCTCTGCCTAAATAATGACAAATCGTGCAATAAAATTGTCACCAAAACGAAATGTGAAAATAATTGTATCTTCTACTTTTTGAAGCATTTTTACCACGCACTGCTAACGATTAAGGAAGAAGCGAAGAAAATTTTAAATATTTACAAGGAGACCTTTATCGAGAACATTAAAAATATGATCTACGTCTCATCGTCCTATGCATACTGCTTGAAGGACCATCGTGTCAATTGCTTTGCGCATATAAAAAAGGGCTTTTCTTTCGTAAATGAGGAGGAGAAGAAGTTGTTAAAATCGTACAATCTGGAAGCTGCAGAGAAGGCGGAAAACTTGCTCGAATGCGACAAGGAAGTTTTTAAAAACATATCCAAATTGCAAGTCAATGTAAGGATCAGTATCGTCATCGTTTACTACATTCTGTACACAGATAACAACCAAAATGAGCAATTTAAAAATATCTTCGAAGAGTTACTAAATGTCTTGTTGACCAAATATAGCATTAAGTCAGAGGCACTAGACAGTTGTGAGGATCCCAGCACTAAATCGAAAACGACAGATGATCAAACGGATGAGCAGCAGGAAAATTTACCCAATGACCCCATCAAGAGCGAAGAAAATGCAGACACCGCAAAGCTAGAAAAAAAGGAAGAACCGTCTGACCAAACGGCCGAAAACGGAAACGATGATGCAAACCTACAGACGGGCGAAAAAAATGAAGAGGCTAAAAAGTAAGCCCAGAGTCACCCATATTTCTTCGTGCAACACATGTGCGGGCTAAACCCTTTGCTGACAATAACCAAACAGGTTTATAACATAATGAAAGGAAGCTTTTGTTGACCCTCTTAATTATTTTCAACGTAAACGGAAATGCTCCTTCCTGAAGCAGAAGTAAAAAGTTGCTCATCCGATTGGTTGGAAGAAGCTACAGAAAAAATCAAGCATCAGTGTTTAGCTAAAAATACGAAAAAAAAAAAAAAAAATTTGTGCAAAAATGTTTGTCTGACTTCCACTGCTTGGAAAATCGATTCCATACATGTTATTTTTACATGCGTCTCCTTTTAACTTTGTTGAGTTATGTTTCCTTGTCCAGTGTTACTTTGCCCCTATTTGTGCAACCACGACGTGTTGTATATGAAATGCTTCCACTCTACATTGCGATGTGCTGCCCCTAGTCTTGATATACGAGCCCATCTGTGGTATGATTTTTCAACTTTTTATTTTTTTTGTGATGGAATTTTTCCTATGGAGGTGTGTACCAAACTTGGCTGTTATACTCTCCCACCACAGCCCCGCGCAACTTTTAGCATTCCCGTGCGCGTAACTATGTAATACGTTTGTTGTGTCGTGTCATGGTGCGATTATTTTTATGTGAGCAGCCCCTCTCTCCATAGTAGCTATCCATTGCCGCGCCACGGTCACGTCATAACCCGTCATGGTAAATGTTTGGCTTGAGCCAAGGATGTTTCAACGCCTCATCCGAATTGGGCCGTTTACACGGGTCGATTTGCAGCAGTGACAAGAGAAAATCTAAAAACAAAGTATCTTCAATTTGAAAATTACTCTTTAGCAGATTGTCACTTGGGTAGCAAACATCATAATAAATTTCTTTACGCTGTTTTGACGCGAACTGCGAACCCCGATTTGCGTGTGTACCTTTTAATAAATCATTTGTGTTGCTTTCCTTCTTATTTAAGCGGAAGAAGTCTTTTGAGTTAAAGATGACCGATTCGTCATCCACCTCATCAAGTGGTTCTTCCTTAATGCTGTTCTCGTAACTGTTGTCAAAACTTATTTTTCTCAAAATTATTAATCCGTGCTTTGTGAAAAGGTATGGTATGCGACAACCCTTTATCATATAAAATGGAAAGGGTCCGATGTAGGACGCTATGGAGTATATAAATCGATATATATTTTGATGATCAAATAAAATTTTCTTCGTTAAAAATTCAAATAATATGCACCCTAAGCTCCATATATCAATTTTTTTGTCGTAATTTTGTTGTAGTAAAACTTCTGGGGATCTATACGATCTCGTTTGAAGGTACATTTCTAGCTTGTCGCTTTCGTATATAGAGCTGTTAAAATCTATTATTTTTATTTTCTCAAATTTTTCGCTGCTAAAAATGTCTCTTTTAGCGACGGCCTTGTTGGTACTACTACCGTTACGACTACTGTTACTACGACTGTCACTACTACTACTACTTGGTTTATCCTTCAAACTAGCTGCAAAACAGAACTTCTCCTTTTCCGCGACACGCACGTCGTTGTGCAGAGACGAATTGCTCCTATGTGTACTACCCAACGTTACTAAACCTAAGTCGGAACCTTTTTCTAAGCGCCCCCCTTTGTCTACTCCTTTTAGTTTCTTCTTCCCCGTTTTCATGTTTATCATAATATTTTCAGGTTTCAAATCGCAGTGTATTAAATTTTTCGAATGGATAAACGCCAAGCCTTCCAGCAAGTTCTTGGCCAATATTTGTAGCTGCCCTAGAGTACCTATCTTACCCTTCTTAATAAAATAATTGTACAAATCGCTCTGCATGTATTCCGTCGCTATGATTAGATGTTCTTTGAAGTAGAAGTAATCATACAGTTGTATAATGTTCTTATTTGTGTGCGTGTTTCCGTTTCGATTTTTTTGGGAATCGCTACTTTCATTCGATAACATGTTTAGAACGATCACCTCGAACAATCCTTGGTCTAGGAAGCTCTTTCCATTTTTCATTACCTTTAAGCAGACGTACTTGTAATTCCTACCCCTCGCTGTTTTGGCTCCGAAAGGGGGTTCGTTATTGGAAATGCATTTTTCTTGTCCCTCCTGGAGTTTTTTACGTGGAGTCCTTTCCCCCGTCGAATTTTCTAAAATGGTACAAGTATTGAACCCTAGGGAATCGCTTGTATCTCCCACTGAACACTGCTTAGGATAATCCTGCGTGCAATTACCTACACCTTGAACATCACCCCTGCCTTTCCCTTTCCTGTATAGCACATTTAAACACTTAAGCGTGGTACTGAACTTAGTTTTGGACAAAATTTTTACCACTTTATATTTATTCAAAATTATCTGACCCGGAAAAAAATGGATTTCCCCCTTAGAATTCAGTTCGCCCTTGTTAGTTTCATATATGACCCTTAGGTTAATTGCGTTATACGTGTGGTCACAACCATTTTGGTCAACCCTGGTAAGGTCACTGTGGCGGTTACTTCCAAAGTGGCTGCCTTTATGGCAAATGGTAACTCGATCTGTTTTAACGTTCTTTTGTTCCTCTTCTGCGGATCCCTTTTCCGTTTCCTCGACACTGGGTATCCCATTTGACCACCCAAGCGTTAGCTCTTTTTTTTTCTTGATCTGTTTTGACCTAAACATATTGTAATCTCCTTCGCAGTACTCATCAATCCACCTGCGTTCATCCCTTTCGTACTTTACTGCTTGCTCCATCTCAGCGTGATGGTTCTCCTCATATGGCACATCCTTATCACTCTGCTCAGAATTTCCCCCATCCACATCTGGAATATCCTTATCATGAAGGAGATGCCTACTGCAGCTGTCCACTCCTTTACTCAAGGAGGATTCATTATTTATAGTTATCGCGCTTGACAGCTCGTCATCAAAGAATAGGTTAATTATGTTCTTTTCATTTTCTTGGTAGCTTTTATTATTCGTTTGTATACTCGTTTCATTGCTATTCAAAAAGAGGGAGCTATTATTCATGCAGGTGTTTCTCCCCTTCTCACAGGAGTTATTACCATTTTCCTTACTTTTGTAAAAATCACTTATACTTTGATAAAAATCGCTCGTGTTGCTATGTAGGTTGTTTTTTTTCTTCAGTACGCTGTCAATTTCATACGTGTGGTGCTTCTCCGATTTATTGGTAGCACTATTGCCAATTCTGTCATGATTTTTGTAAATGCGACTGCTATGAGGGGAAGAATCGCTCACATTATTCTCCTTTTCTGGAACGAATATTTCCGATTTGTTCAATTTTATATCGTTTTTGTTCCTAGGGCTACTCTTCAAATTGGGTGTCAAACAGGCATTATCCGTTTCTTCATTAGGTTGATAGGAACTGCTCTCAAATTCGTTACACGCACCGTGCCCACTTTTTTTTTCTTCCCCCATAGTACCAAAGTTAGGGGAAACCTTCCGATCTACTTCCCTTCCAAATGTTGGTGAGCTGAACTTGTTGTAAGAGTTATTTCTACTTAGTACATTGTCCGTATACAAATTGCAGTTGTTACCGTTTATACTTGACGAATTATTCGACAGTGTGTATTGGGTAATTCCATTTAAGCTTCTCTCATAGTTTGTGTACTTGGAGGTGGAAAAAATGTCCCTACTTTGGTCATCATAATTTTTTATAAAGACATAGTTCCCAGGGATGGAGAAAAAGAAGGTTGTATTTTTATACTTATGTCTATACTTCCTCGCCACATTTAAATAATCACCATCATCATAATCATCGACATTGTCATCATGATGATTAATGTCATCATCATCGTTACCGTCAGCATCATCGTCATAATCATTTTGGGCCCTCCTCCTTAACATAATCATAGTTTCGTCACTTAAAAAGGAGGAGTATTCGCTTAATCTAACGTTGCTATTATGCACTTTAAAAAATTCTTTAATTTCTTCTATTAACACTTTTTTGGACACTCTCCTGACATTTAGCGCATAGTCTAAGCCTGCGACGTATCTGATTAGCGTTTCATTTCTTTGGATAAGTACTAGGTCCCTGTTTTCGTCGCACAAATTTGTGCTGTTTGATGAATCATCCGTGTCAGTCCAATCGGACTGTGACAAATGGATCCCACACGAGTAGTTCTTATTTATACCTTCCCTTTCTACACCGTGGAAGTCCAAGCAGTTTGTCTGATCTGAAATTTTTTTATGATCCTCATCATTTGTCTTCTCCGTGTCGTCATCCTTCCCCGCTTCTGGACTTTCGTCTAATTGGTTTTCACCCCCATTGTGCTCCTTCACTTCGCTGCTCAAGTGTGTATCAATCTGGGCAGATTCATTTGAGGGGAGTCCATTTTGGAAGAATCCATTTTTGGCTTGCTCATCGCAACGATCATTTTTCTCCTTACGACGCATTTCCCCTGGAGGCTCCTCACTTTTGGAGTTACCCCGTCCCACACATGCACTTTGGACATTCTCATACGGGCTGCCCTTCTCCACAATGTGAAAATGTAAAAATTCTATTTTGCTTACAAAGCCGCTAAAGGCCTTTCTAAAATCTTGGGTATCCTTACTTCTCTCATTTTTCGTGAGCACCTTACTAGAAAAAATAAAACTGCTGCAATGTTTCCTCTTGTACAATGTACAGTAATTGTTGAATCCTTCAACTATGTCAAAAAGGGAAATTAGGTAATCCCCCCTGTTCAGCATTTTTTATTATTTCAATTTGCCGTTACATGAAGAAGCAGTAACACTAAACGCAGATGAGATTTTGTAAATGAATTCGTAAATGAGTTGTGCCTTTCTGATGAATATACGGAAAGAACAGAAAAAAAAAAAAAAAAGAAATCATTTGAGGCCAATCCAAGCAATTATGTAGAATGTACTTTATAATGGATGAACCACGCCGAGCGGTGTGAAGAGCGCGTACTTGAGTTTCATTTACTGCGAAAATTAGCCATGTACACATTTTTAGAAGTTTTTTTTTTTTCTAGCTTCCTCTCCCCCTTGGTAACATTTCAAAAATGTGAAAAATGTCCTTTTTTATTCTATTGTTCCGCATCCTTTGTGTAATCTTTTGCTTACAAGGAATTTTGCAATTGTCACCGTCACGAAACTTTCACCATCAATCGTTTGCCGCGCATTGCGGTTGTGACGCACTCTATGTCATTTAACTTTGCCTTGCATCGCTCCTCATGCACTTCAAGGTTGTTCCTATTTAAAGCGTCGCTCAAGTTAAGTAGAAATTTTCACGCATTAATTATTCTCAATATAAAAAAGAAAAAAAATTAATACCCACATGCTACGCCTTCTATGTCCAATTCTTTAAACGTATGCATATATTGTCCAACTGCTTAAACTTACAAGCAGGGCTTACCTACATTGTTTCACCTCCTTATTTTTATAGGAAAATTTTTTTCTTAAAGACGTACAACTTAGGCGCATAGGATAGGAAAAAATACATAGGAGTAACATAATTATCGCGAAAGGAAAAAAAAAAAACTTACACACTTGTGCACACCTAATTACAAAAAATTTGTAAAAAGTGACTGCACAGTGTGTAAAGACTGTACACTGTGCACCACATGTCATAATTAGTATACATTTCCATATTAATGAAGCAACATATTTTTCTGAATTATTAAATTTTTCACTTAAAAAAAAAAAAAAAACATACGTGTTACAAGCATATTTACACGTACGTATAATTCATATATGCACACCGTAGGTACATTTGCACATGAGGTTTACATAAAATACTTCCTCTGGGGTTAAAAAAAAAAATGCACTTATATGGGGGAAGGCTTAAAGATCATAATGGCATGTTGTAGTGGACACGTAGGGCATAAAACAAAAAACAGAGTGGATCGAAAAAAATTCACTCTTTTGCGGGGCATGTGCTACATATCTCTTTTAGCAACTTAAAAAAATGAATGCTCTAATGAAGGCTTTGTTACAATGTTGGGGGTGAGGAATGATTACTCATTACTCTTACATGCTGCGCAAAAATAAATGCATAATGGAGTGGGAAAATGAGCGGGTATAATTGGGTAGATAAACGAATGGGTAAGTAACCTGAGGCGCAAAATGCTCTTCAAATGGGGCAACAAAAAAAATGATGAGAAAAAATATACACATGTGTGTAGGCATATGTATACACGTATTATCAACAAACATTTGATTTTACACTGAGTTCAAATGAATGTGGCATTTGCAGGTTGGCAAGTTTTTGCCCCTTGTAGATACCACACCAAGTGGGCCGCTGGGGGATATCCTGGAGCCCCCCGTAACCACATACGCGTGCATTTCTGTATACGTGTTTTTCCGCACACCTACCAATCCTCGTGTGGGTCAGAAGGACACGTATTAACTGTTAGCACCGTTTCCGTCTTTTTCGCAGGCCGCGCTTCCTTTTAAGCGCCGACGGGGTTTTGCAAGTACGCATGGGCGCACACATACCCCCTGCCCTGCATCCATCCATGCGCGAGACATAACCGGTATTCGTGGCAGCGTTTTGCCTCCACCTACTTATGAACGTTAATTTCTGGGTCCTTTATATGCACCTTCGGGTCAAACGGCTCATTCATCCTATTACACACAATTAGCAAGAGTCGCACATCCACCTCCTGACTCTGGTTTTTAAACATGTACATATCACCGGGGCTAATTAACAACTGCATGTGCTTTTCGCATTCAATAGCGTTACTTTTCATTCCTGTGTCAATGAAAAAATTATTTGAATCACAATCTAAAATGAGAAATGTCATAAAGCCGTATGTATTTTTTACAGGGCCATAGGTCGTTTGTGTGCCTATTAATATAAGTGCCATTCCTCCTCCTCTGCTTTGGTAATTTAAAGGGATACAAGTGACGCCTTTTTTAATATTATTCCTGTAAATCTTTTCAAGTTCTATAATTTCGGTTGGTGATTTTTTCATGAATGAATTATTTTCCTGTAGAGACGTATTAATTAATTTAAGAACATTTTTATTTTCTTCTTCATTTTCTGCGCCTCCATCACCCCTGTTCATACTTTGATGGTCGCTATTTTTGCTATAATATTTCCTTATGTCATTTTGTTTCAACTTATCATTACCATTGTTCATGGGTGCAACGTCCTTTACTTTGGGTCTTCCCCTTTTCCTCTTCACCTTAACTTCTCCTTTTGTGTTATTTTCATTATTATTGTTGTTACTGTTATTAGCGTTGCTATGATTGTTAAAACTGTTGATCTTGGTTAAAACGCTACTCAAGGAATTCTGCTGCTGCATTTTTTCTTTTAATAAACGAGCTCGGTATTCCTCCATTTCTTTTTTCTTTCGCCTCTTCCTTTTCGGTTTCATTCCTGCTTCGTTATTATCATTCGTATTTCTCCCAAAGGCGGAGGTGTTATCCATATACGTTTTTCCTCCTCTGCTGTCCCCTGAGTTGGAAAACTTTTTGGAAAAATTCGCATCGGCCCCTTTGCTTTTACGATTATGTTTTCCCTCTTTCTCGTCATCTTCATCCCCCTCGTGCTTATCTTCGCCCTCTTCGTCTTCCTCCTCCTGATGTACTTTTTGCTGCAATTTATTTTGCGTTCGCCTAGATGGCCTACCACGTCTTCGTACCACTTCCTGCGTGGTTCGCTCTTCATTTTCGTCTCTCTCTCCTTCTTCTTCGTCATCGTCATTGTTTTCGTGACTTCCCATTTCTTTGTGTCTTTTTTTGTCCTTCTCTTTCTGTTTCATTCTTTCCATTAATATGACATGTTTCCTCCTTCGTTTTCTTTTTTTTAATTTTTTCTCCACTTCTTCATTTTGTTTTTCATTTACGACACTGGAATAATTTTTAAATTTGCTTAAATGGTTCTCCACGGTGGATTGGGCTGCTTTACTTCCGTCATTTTCTGCATTTGATGCATTTCCCGCATTTTCACTTAAATGGGCGTTGCTACTGCTGGCGGCGTTCTTCTCCTCAGGGTTCGCATTTCCGCTGTTGTTGCCTCCGCTACCACTGGTATTTTCCCTCCCCTTATTGTTTCCGCTGTTGTTCGTTTCATCCGGCTTATGTAAATTCTTTTTGTTCAAAATGTTTTGGGCATTTCTCACTGTGGCCAGTCTATCTTTTAAAGGCAAATTTTTGCTTCTATCATTTTCGTTATTTACGTTGGTCGAAATAGACCTCGCTAAGTTGTTACTTTTATTTATATTGCTGTTAATGGGCTTATTACCGTTGTTAAAATTGTTGGGGTTATTGTCTAAGAAGGCTGCTGAAAACACGTTAAACATTTTTACCTTTCTAAGTACGTGGGCACATCAAGGGGGGGGTTAATCTTCGTAGGAAAAGGTCGCATATGTGCTGTTTCTCAAAAAGAAGATCCTTCATTCGTTCAATTTTGAGGTACACTTTTTTGGCATTACTCTGTAATTACCCTTGCTCGATGTAAAAATTTTCTCATTTTTTAAAAATTAAATTGCGTTCAGGTAGGGGGAGTAGAAAAAGGGACTAAAGTGCAGATATACATATAAAATAAAATTAACTTCAAGTTCCCCCGCGCAATGCGTTTTGTTAATTTAGCCGTTCATACGTGCCTTGTGGGGAACGCATAAAATTATCTCCTTCGGCAAAAGTAATACCACGGAAGTTTGCACAAATGAGTGAATTATAAATATAAGTATGGATGCGCAAAATATGCTACATTCACATACGCATACACTCTTCAAACATTCAGGTGCAGTTTGGCTACTTTACATTTTGATAAAAAGGCATATAATTATTATTATTATCAAAAAATGTACAATTTGTACGCGCCAAAGGGAAAATGGCTGAAGGTGGAAAATATGTAAAAATTTTGATTGTCGATTTTACTGCATTTTAAATATGCTTATTTGCTGTACACTTTTTTTTCTTTTATTTCATTTCACGTGCGTTTTTGTATACATTTTTTTTTTTTTTTTTTCGAAGTGGGAAATATATACGCCGCTCGGGAGGCCACAAAAATGTGTACATAAATGTATACTCCTTTTCAGTACGTATTTTCATTCGCTATGTTTTCCGTTTCGGTAAAATGTAAAGTTAAAAAGGGCTATCAAAAAATTGCAATTTCACAAAATGTGAAGAAAGCGTACATTATCTATGTAGATTTATATACAATTTGTATGCGCCTGTATTGCTGAACGCGCTTACGTGTACAAAGGCGTCTACGTAAGCATGACAGAACAGTATTCATTCATTTGCTTTCGCAATATGCCCAATTTGGCAAAAAAAAAAAAAAACAAACAACAATTTGTTGTAACCCCAAGTTCGGATTATCTGTGAACGCTCCAACTGTGCGGAGGGCAAAGATGGGGAAAAATATAGTCTTACAGCTTAAAAAAGTTCAAAATAATGCGGAAAAAATCCAGGTGAACAAGTGCTACTTTTACTTTGTACTTGTTTCTATTCTATATGTGAGAAAATCCAACTTCATTCCCATGCGCTAACAAGTTCGCATTAAAAAAGCAGAGAGTATATTATGAACGGTTAAACATATACGTATAAGGAAAAAGGAAAAATGTCCTTCTAATCAATTCATTTGGTTGGTTAAAAATGAAATAAGGTTTCGTTTGTTCCATGTTGTCCCTTGAAAGTTAATCCTTCAAAATGGGATACATTTTTTTAAACCATCTAATATGAAGAAAAAAAAAAAAAAGAAACAACAACAGCATATGTAAGGCAAAATAAAATAAAAATGGTTTTTATTTTTAAAAAATAGGCAGTAAGGAAAATATAACTTTTTCTTTTCTTTTTTTTTTCATCGATGATTTATCCCCAAATGGTGGGGATCGAAAAATGCCACGATAGCGTTGTTGTAGATATATAAAAAAAAAAAGTTTAAGGCTTAAATTTGCATTCTTTCAATGCCATGAACACTTCTTCTACATTTGCCTCGTCGCACACTTAAAAAGAAACTCCCTTGAAAAAAAAGCAAAACAATGGATAAATAGTTGCCAATTGTGACCTGCAACTGAAAATACATACAGCGTATCATCTCCCCTGCGACACACATGTACATATGCCAAACTGAAATGCAAAAAGTTCAAAAGTAAAAAAAAAAAAGAAAAAAAAAACAAGTGGGAATAAATACCACCCTACCCAAAGAGGGAAAGAAAAAAGGATAGCAACTACGCAAAATGAGAAAACTGCTGAAAGCCGCCATTGCCGATGTGAACAAAATAACATGTGACGATGCCGCGAAGTCGTCCATCCCATTTAAGGAAAACTTAAAATCACTAATTATAAGAAATATAGACAAATTTGAAAATGAAGACATTTTGAAAATAATAGAAAATTATAATGGAAACAATGGAAACGACAGGAAAATCCTAAAAAGCAGTTACGACGTTTTTAGAAACAATATACACCGATACTCCTTTGACCAAATAAATAGAATACTGAGGTTGTACACTACGTCTCAATTGTATGACAACCAGTTTAATGTATCCATTCTTGGTTACCTCATTAAGAGGCTGAATGCGATGCCCGCTAGCGTGACCGTGAACGTATTTCATAGTAAGTCCCTTGCTGAAAGGCGCGGCCATTAAACAGGAGAGCGCAATGACACAGGGCGTAAAGCGCCGCAAATGTGTACATACAAATACATGCGTATAGGCATATGTGCAAACGTGTGTACTCCCCCTTCTTTTTTTCCTATGTGATATAGTTGGCCTGGACCTAGGTCAGTGATCCCACCCCCATCCCCATCTTGACAACCCAACAAATTCGCCCCAAACCGCTTTCCCACCCATGCCGCAGATTTGGTGAAAGTTGGCCTAAGAGACCACAGAAGCATTGAGCCAATTAAAGATCATTTTAAGAAAAACATAGATAAGTACAATACCCTAGATTTAACAATTATTTTAAGTTCGTTGACCATGTTGCAGGAGGATATTATGACGAACTCTGCAAATTGGGGAGTCAACGAAAATTCGCACAGCCCAAAGGTGAAGAACTCTCCAGAATGCACCTTTAATTACAACGAAATTATCGCGCTCATACTGAATAAAATAAAAAATGATGAACACATTCACAACAATTTGAGCGTGGTAAATTCCATCTTGATACTAAACATGATTAGCCGATTAAATGTTAACAATTACGAGATTTTTAAATTTTTTACAAAAAAGTATTATAAAAATTTAAAGGAAAGGGATGTAGAACCACACCACCTAACCTTACTGCTGAACTCATTTGCAAAGTGCAACATAAATATTAACATTCTCAAATATATAATTAAATATATGAACAACGACAATTTTGTTAACCAGCTGTCCTACGTAAACATTACAAATGCAGTTCACTACATGGCCAAATTTAACTATAAAAATATATATTTTTTAAATCGACTGAAGGATAAAGTGATCGAAATTGTTGACACAATTCCGCAACGGGAATTCAGCAACATCATGTGGTCTTTATCCAAGTTAAAAGTTAAAGACGATACATTTTATTTTGTTTCTCTCCAGAAGGTTAAGAAAATAATCCCTTCGATGGACATGATGTCAATCGCCCAAGTGTTAGATGCACTACGACGAAGGAATTTATCGAGTGGGGTTTCATTTTTGGACAAACTCCTCGATCCCCAGGTGGTTAAAAATGACACAGGTGATTTGCCCAACAAATATCAAGAATCTCAAAAACATAACAGATCAGTGACGAATAAGGGCGTAGAATCAGCAGACAAAAAGGAAGGCGCACAAACAGCTGACAATGCCGCAGAAGAAGTAAATTGCGAATACCCTCATCTGGGGCAGGATAACCACGCGCCCATAAATAACATACCTGTGCAAAGGGCTCACACAGAGCAAAGAACAAAGGAGTTGCCCCGAAGTAGGGTTCACAATGTATGCCACGTTCCCATCGAATTAGAAAAAGATGTGATCGATTTATTAATAGAGAAATATTTGGAAAATATAGAGCGTTGCTCACTCCATGTGTTGACACAGGTCCCATTTTGCTGCCTCCAACTGAACTGCACCAATTACGACATTTATCACAAATCTCTTGAAGTTCTGAGGCGGAAAAAAAAATATATGGGCACCTTAAATTTAATATATGCGAGGTACTTCATAAGGATTCTGATAGAAAAGCAAGAGGATAATTTTCAAAAATTGCCTCGCTCGATTAAGCAATTCGCCAGGGAAATCATGAACTCGGATAGCACTTAGCAGTTTCTCGTGAATTCCTGGCGTATGTCACTTCTGTATATCTGTTAACTCCCCATTTGTACATGCGCATGTTGGTTGCTGTTTGCTGTTTGCACCTTTTTATCATTGTTTTTATATACCTCTGCTTTTGCGAAAGTTTGCCCTAGCAACCTCTTTGGGGGCCCTTTTGGAGGTTCTTCCTTTTTCGTTTGCCCAGTGGAAGGGGTGCACCAAGTAGATTCCCCCGGGCCACCGCTATGTGTAACTCTATTGTATACACATACATTTGTGCATTTTTTTAATCTATGTAGCTTTCTTAGCGCTATTCTCCCTCCGTATGGGCTTTGCCTTTCGCTTCCCCCGATGATATCTCATCTAATAGGGCAACTTGACTTATATACATACATTTGTATATATTTGCATATATTTATGCGCTATGCCCACCACTGAACAGGGCGCGTCGTGATAGTTTTTCCCTCTGGCACCGCTCACCTATTAATATTTTTGTTTTAAGTGAAACGCTTTTTTGCCGCTTTCAAAAACAGTGCAAGCTTTTTTTTCTGTCGCATAAACCGACTTGCAAAAAATTCCGCTACAGTTTTTTTTTTTTTCTTTTAAAATATAATATAAAAAATTCACAAAAAATAAGCAGGAAAGAACGAACATGTGAAGTTACCGTAATAATGGGTTGCCAGTGCTATATATAGAACTTTTCATATTTGAACCCCTATTTTAGCAAAGCAGAAAGGGTCCAACATAACAGTACCACGTAATGGCTGTTCGTATGCTCCATTTACAGTTCTATGTACATATTTAAGAGGAAGAGCCCGTTCATTGTTCCCTTTTACGCACTTTAACAAGAATGGCGACAGTCAGTGGGTCAGAAACGTTTTTGCCTCTTGCCCTGATGGATAAGTGCATAGGTTCGCGCAGAACGAAGCGCTTCGCATCTTCTAGTTCAAATCTGCATCAGCGTGTGCGCAGTTAGATAAGTGCATGCACCTGTATGCGCATCGCGTGGCTGAATTTCCTGCGCGCCACATGGAGAGGAAGGCAATTCTTCGATCACTACTTCCGATTAGCCCGCTTAAAATGCCCCCCTTCCAAACAACCTTTTTTAGGCAGCAAAATATGGGTTATGCTGAAGGGTGACAAAGAAATAGTTGGAAAGCTCGTCGGATTTGATGAATATGTGAATATGGTAATTTGGAAAAAAAAAAAAAAAAAAAGCAAAACCAAATTACGCCGTGTAACATCACCTCTGTCCATTTAACGAAACACACACTGTCACAATTAATACCCGCTTTGTTCCCCCGCGCAGGTACTAGAAGATGTTACGGAATACACTTACGTAAACAACGTTAAAAAGGTGAATAAAATAAAAAAATTGCTGCTGAACGGTTTGAATATAACAATAATGGTCCCAGGAGGTGTCCCTGTTAATTACTACGATTATGAAGAAAAGCTGGAGGAAAACATCGCTTAATGGTATTTTTTTTTTCAAATTTGTGTCATTCTTAAAGTGAAGAGTCGCTTTACACGTTTTTGCAAATACATGCCCGCGCGACAGGTGCCACACCCCGCGAGCGTATATGGATAAATGTGCACACCTGTGAATGAGAGCATTCGAACTGGAGGCGCATTGTTCCCCCGCAGTGGTGCCACATTTTTTTAAAATATATCATATACAAAAAAAAGATCATTTGGGGAAAAAAATATTTTATGCGTATGGCACAAAAGTGGTAGAAGGAGGGTCCGTATTGTGTTGACGAAAGTAGTACGATAAAACCCCCCTTTAAGGTTAATTTCTTTCTCTATTTTTATCTGCTTCCCCCCCCTTTTTTGTGGACACATCGCAACGTATTCCGCACACTAGAAAGGCGCAAAAACCCAAAGGACAATGGAGCCATCTGGGTAGCCATTCGAAGTTGCAATGATATTCTGGTTCTTCGGGTACGTGTCGGCACTTGTTAGAAAAGACAAATGCTTCTTTTTAAAAAATGGCTGGCTCATGCTGCACGAGTCAAAATACGAATTGTCAGCAGGATGATAGTTTGGCAAGTAAAGATTGCTTATTGTGTTAACATGAAAACCTGTGTATATGTCATACACATGTGCATACGTGTCGGTTGACGGAATAATGCACTTATCCCCCGCTACGCAGGAAAAAAAATTAGGAATATCCGCTTCGTTATTTATAATATCTGACATTTGGTAGTACAGTATGTGTTCCTTTTCGTCCTTTTGCGGGTGGTAAACCCCTTTTTCCGAATTTGCCTCACCCTGATTGTGATTGCTATTGTCACTACTATGATTCAATTTTTTATAATGTGTCTTAATAAATTCGTGGTTTCTCCTCAGACTTTCATTTAGGTCATCGTAAGGGATCAGATTCATATATTTCATGTTATCCTGAAAGAAGGACCACGTAGGTTCCAACTTTTTATTAACATGTTCGTAAAAGGCATTCGTTTTTATTGTATTTTCATCAAAAGCGCTGGAATCTGTATTTGAGTAGGTGCCATCTGATTCGTTTTCCATTCCGTCTGCCACTCCGTTTTCCATTCCGTCTGCCACTCCGTTTTCCATTCCGTCTGCCACTCCGTTTTCCATTCCGTCTGCCACTCTGTCTTCCATTCCATTTGACACTCCCTTTCCCCCCTCGTCACGCTCACCCGCAGCTTTCTTTTTATCGTCTTTACTTATTTTCCTGTTTAACTCGTTAACAAGTTTTATTCTTTCCTCCAGTTCTTTATCTTCATATATATTTTTAATGCTACATGGTTGGAATTCTTTATCGATGTATAAGTCTTTCGAAAAGTTGTCATCGTACAGACTGGCGCAGTTGCTATACTCATTATCATCCTCCCCCGCTTCGTTATCTCCACTGGGTCTGTTCAAATGATAAGACTTGTAATTAGAAAGGTAGGTGATCATATTTTTTGCGTTCTTCTTATTATTCATGTAGATAAAGTCAAAAATTTTTGCGTACTTGGACTTGTTCGTGCTAACAATATATTTGTTGTTATAACTGAACATACAGTGAGTGATAGTTTTCTCCTCATCATAAAAGGATTTAATGATATTATTGTTTATGTCGTACAGCCGAATGTACCCGTCGTATCCGCTTGTCATCAGGACGTTATTAAATTTGTTTCTTGTCAGATCAAAGGTGATGGACGAGTAGGACACGGAAGAACACGAGGAGGAAAAGGTCGAACTGCTGCTCTCATCGTCCAAGAAAAGCTCCTCATCTTGGAAGCTAACCGATTTCTCAGCCTTCCTACTATGTGATTCCTTTCCTATCTGTGAGCTGTTCTCATCAGCATCACATTGCTTCCTTTCCCTGGCTCTCATTTCTCTTTTCCTTGTTGCCCTCCTCATTTTATACGCACCTTCATGGTCAATCGTGTTGTTAAAATTGATGCTGGTCACGATATCCTCATGTGAGCATATAGAAGCATACGGATTCTTATTATCTAAAAATATGGTATTGGATGTGGCCTTTTTATAGTTTCCTTTCTTATGTAGAGTAAACAAATTCATTCTTATGTCCCAGATTTTTAATAACCCATCCCCCCCCCCTGAATACACTAAGAAGGTGCTTATGTTTGGCACTGCCAAGCATGAAGTGCTACACTCGTGTGAGTCTTTAATAATAAATAGCGACTTATTAATAACTGGATTTACTTTCCTTATTTTAATGCGATTTAAGTCCACCATATTGATGTTACTTTTTATCAAATCGCAGTAGTTATATACCGGAACGTAGACAACTTTGTTGTGGGTAAAATCCTTATGCTTAACCTTCATCCATGGGGTGTAGATGTTATCCAGTACGTTCTTTCTTGTCTCCTTCGGAGGCAGTTGTTCCTGCCTCGTTTCGTCATTGCCGCCATTGTGGTCACTTCTCCCTACTGAGGAATCTTCCCTTTTCGCACATTGCCTCTTAATTATGCTTGGGATGGATACGTCCACATACCTTGCAACATCATCGTTAGAGACCTTCTTACTTTCGTACAGGTCAAATATTTCTATAATTTTATTATCACCACAGGCGTATATATACTTGTCATTATCGCCTATTATCAAGTCCCTTATGTTGTCAATCTTTGTACAAATTTTTGTCAACAGTTTGTTTTCATACAAATCGTATACGTAAATTATGCCATTTGTTCCACATCCTGCTACATACTTCCCTTGGGGGGAGAAGCAGACTCGGTTGACCCCATACTTGTTATCCTGGTGTATGTCTACTTTGTTCCCGTTAAACCCGTCTCCAGTAAAACTTATACTATTTCTACCATCTGCATCGGGGGGTAAACAAAAGTGTTGAGGTAAGTTCTCTCGTTTGTGCGTATTCTTTCGGTGTACAATACATATGTGCAGGGAAGTCTGGTAGGAAGTGGCAACTGGGGCGGGGAGCCACACGCGGGACTACAAACTGCGCACGGGATTTACGTGAAATGGTCCAGGGCCAACCAGATCCGCCTCACAGGCAGGCGGGGTAATGGGCAGCCCTGAGGGCCTCCCTAATAGTCTGCCTGCCCCTCCCCAATTGCTTCCACACAAACTCGGTTCACCCGTAGGTGTTATGTACTTAAGCGCATTCAAAACAGCAGTTCATAGTTCACTATGCCCTTTTTCTATCTCCTTTTTAAGACCGTACCGGAATCATTTGTGTAATTTTTATTGATGTATTTATTCGTTCCCCCGAACTTTATGACTGGGAAGTACTTCCCCTGTACCTTTTCGCTTATGTTCCTGAATTTTTTAGAGTCGCAATCGTTCATGTTTCACCATATTTTAGAAAAAAACAAGAGGATATTTGCTTAGGAAGGGTGAAAGCATTTTAAGGGAATGTTTTTTTCTTTTTTTTCTTTTTTACTGGTATGTATAAACGGAACGCATTATCGCTGTTGTAATAAGTATTAGGAGCCGCGCTTGGACTGTTGTATGTATATAAATATATATACATTTTTTTTTCCACCCTTCGCTATTTTTACCCAGTTGGAGGGTAAAAGCTAACGACGTGCCAAGTCATCCTGCACATCCGCTCTCATCCTTATGCATATTTTCTTAATTTTAATTTCGCCTCAAACTTGCAGTGCGCAACTAGGCCTTTTGATCGCCTTGCCGTCGCACATTTTTGCGCTTCATTTGGCCCAGCATGGGCATATAATACATATGTACATACTTATATACATAGCGATAACGCTCGCGTCACTATATGTGCACATGCTTCTTATTGGATAAACGACAGGCCACCAACACTAAGTGAAGCAGAAGCTAAGGCAAAGATGGGGGCAAAACTTGGAGAGCTATTCTTAACATCTGAAAGGTAACACACAGAATGGAATTTTTTCTACGATACGGAAACGGGTCGACAAGTAATGACTACGTTTTGCCATCATTGAACTTGTATACCTCTTCTGTGGTGTACCAGAAAGTGTTTTTTTTTTTTTTTTCATGTTATCCCTTTTTACGAACATGGGTAGGGTTACTTTTATGACTGAAGTGTGAACGGCCTTAGGACAAATTTACACGCAGTACCGTCTCCCACATGTAGAGAAACACAGTGTATGTAAAAATTATTTCGGTGAAGTGTAATCCTCTCTCTCAATTTCAACAAATGCGCCTGAGGAGGAGAATGAAAACACACACCGATTAGTTACACCACCCCCGTTCTAATTATATGCATTCGTTTCAACTTATGTACCTTTCTGCCCATGCAAAGAACCCCGCATTCCATAATCACACGGTCGGTAGCCCCTTTTAGTTATCCAGATAAGTAATAAAAACAATTTGTACCCTCTGTAATGATAAAATTATTAGGCAAATACACGCCACGTAGAAGCAGCCGACCCCAAAGCGTAGTCCTGCCTTAAAAAATCCCCCTTCGCAAAGAAGGATCAAAAAGGGGGGGGGAGGGGAAAGGTTCTCAATAAGCTTGCACAAAATACACCTGCGAGTGAGTGTGCTCCTCTGCGCATATGTATCACGTGTACATTTCCCATGGGTTTCTCCCGAATGTGGAACTTCTTTCCAGGGAGAAACTCATGGAGAAACCAGCAGTTCTTCAAAATGGAAGTAAAATTTTAAACAAATTATTAAAATTTAGGAAGTATTTTTTGGAATTAATGGGGGGCAAAAAAATAGATATACAAATGAAACACACTAGCGTGCGTATAGATGGGCATACTAGCAGACGCGACTGCACACGCACTTGTCAAACGCTGATCGGGCTACTTGGACTTAAACTTGTTTAAGTACTCCTCATAGGTGCATAACTTGAACTGGGGGTTCTGCAGCATCTTATATATCATCTTAATATTTTTGGCGTCGTCGTCACTTTTGGCTATTATCCAGCAGGATTGGTCATCTACCTTACTTAGAGAAATCCAAATGGGGGACCAAATTTTCATGATCTCCCATTTTTTAAAATAGCTAGGATAATCATACATGTAAAAATGTCTCGCCATTTCGTAGTTTTCCGCACTAGTTAGCGATACCACATTCGGCTGCGTTTTTACAATCTTTATTTTATTACACATAATTAAAAAAATATCAAAAAATGATTTCACGCTTTCGTTGGTGCTTTTTGTTTTACTAAAGTAAATATTTTTCCACATCATATTATTTTTTCTCAAAATGTAGTGACACTGAAATATGAAAAGGAGGCATGTTAGGAGGCTATCATAACCGGCATTATGTTCATCACTCGTTTTGGCATTTCCATGACAATCGTGGCTTCTTCCTTCGGGGGAGACTAATTCTGTTCCATTTGGATACATACTGTCATTTTTGCTATCCCAACTGTTAGGATGTTCTCTATCAGCGCGATTTTTTACCTGTTCTTTTTCATCTATGGAAGCGCACCTCGCTGTGGCGCCAGAAAAATTACCCACTGCATCATTTGGCTGGTCCCCTAATTTCACAAGAGGGACAAAACATTGAGGGAGATCTGAATGGCCATTCGTAAAATTAAAAACAAAATCGAAATCGTTGCTGGCCGAAATTAGGGAAGCCATGTACTCACATAACCCCTTCAAAGTTGCAGGGCCATTCAGTGCATATAAATATTCATTCGTTTCGTTCAAATACTTTGTATCAAATGTGTAGGGAAATATCTCTGTCCATTTATTCTTAAAAACACTAATCGAATTTGGTAACTCATGATAGAAGGTCTGATATATGTGCAGGATGTCATAAAAGCAATTATGTCCGATAATTATTTTTTTATTTTTTATAATTTCATCAAATAGTAATCTCACTCCAACTGTTTCGTTTATTTTCTCTATCTCCAATTCCAGTGCCCTAATTTGTTCCTTGTACGAATCCTTTTCCGTTCGATAGATGGCTAAATGCTTCTTATCATTCACCTTCACAGATATGCAGAAAATGCCGTTGAAATATTTCGTTATTAACGTATGCGCAAGTAATCGCAGATACGGGCTCTCTATTTCTATGTATAGGGGACAATCCGATGGATCATTATTTGGGTTTGCTCCGGGTGGGAAGTCCATCCTCCCTACTTCCCCTCCCTGGTTTTCCCCACCGAGGGACGCCTGTACATGCTTAGCGTCCAATGAGATATCACCACTGTCTATAGGAGTAGAAGAAGCATGGTTATTACTTTCAGATTCTAACAAACTGGGAATTTTTTCCCTGAACGCGGCACTTTCGTCTTCTCGCCCCGCACGTCCATGGGTGTAATTCGTGTACACTCTGTTGCAATTCTCCCCTTCGCTGCCACATCGTTGAAAAGATGCATTGATATGATGCGAATGGGGCTGCCCCACAACTTCCGACTGGTGTAATGATCGCCCATCTGAACAGCTAGACTTGTCCATCGAGCTTATTTTATCCCCCTCTATGTGATTGAACCTCCCCACAGGATGGGCCATATCCCTGCGAGTCAGCCAAACTCCAATCTTCTTTATTATCTCAATAATGGCTTCCTTATCCTCGTCGTCCACAATTTTATAATTTTCTATCTCTTGAATAATCTTCTCTACATCTACTTTTTTTTCTTTTTCATCCAAGTGGTTCTCTTTGACACCCCCCGTTTTCGTGTTACATGTATTCATCAAATTTTTTAGTTCGTCGATTTTTTCAAAGATATATTTTTTTTTCTCTTCCTCCTCAGGTGGCGTTAAATAACCGACACCATTACAAATCCATTCGTTAAAATCGAAATTATTTTCCTTTAAGAAAATAAGAGTAGTTGTAGATACACTGAAGTACTTATTTTCCTTGGGGAAAACATAGATGCAGTAGGGTGATATGTCCCACTCTTGCTCACTCTTTAAGCAGTACTTCAGGTCTACTTTTTCATTCTCTTGTCTTGAAACTTTAATATTGTGTACATTCGTCTTCCGAAGGTGTTCCTTTCCTTTTTCTCTTCCTCCGTCTGCTACGCGTTTCTCCCTCCCCATTGTGTCATTTTTCCTAGCCACGGTGATGCCAATTTGGCAAGGGAAAAAAGATTTGGCTCCATAACAATGGGCTTCATAACTGGAATCAATAGATATGTACCTCTCATCCTTTAGATGCAGCCCTGTGTACTCCACGTCAATCGAAACGAAATCGCTCTCATGGATTTTATGGATTATCTCCTTGTGGATGTCATTCCAGTTATTTACATTAACACTTGTTATCTTGGAGTACCTTCTTTTCAACATACCACATTTCAGGATTGAATTCTTTTCTTTTAAAACGAAATTTTTAAAGAAATAATTCACTACATTTGACATCATAAAATGGGGCAAGATGCAAAATGGGGCGATTCCTTCCTTATTTTATACCCCTTCATTAGGCGAACAAATTGGGAAAAAAATATCAGATCCAAACTTTATGCGCCGGTGATCTGCATTCTACACGGGGGATTGTAACTATCTCTGCCTTGGGGAGTGCACAAAACTGGGGACAATCGACGCGGTTAAAAACGTGTAGAAGGGGTTTAAGGGTTGGAGTAACTTATACCTTCTGCAATGTTCTCATGTAGCTGTGCTGTTTTGGGTCTAGCTGAACGGGAGTAAAAGAATGCCTTTCCTTTCATGTACCGTCGGCATCATGAGCCATCCATCCATATGTCGTATCAGTTGCGTCCCTACGACATGATTCACTGTAGATGCGGAAAACAGCCGAACGAGTGCAAATCCAGCTGAACGTGCTGATTCGGAAGGTGCTAAAAATATATATATCAAACATGTTCCACAGCTATTCAATTTTTACACAAAACTTTCCCCTTATAGTTTATTACTCCCATTTTTTGTGAATAAAAAAAGTTGTGTAAGTTTCTACAGAAATGGAACCGAGCGTGTATATCCTATTGCTGAAGCGGCACCTAGGATGTATGGATTGTAAATTTGTGCTTTCCAACATGTACACGTAACATTCTTTCGCAGTTGTCATTTTTGGGGTTTTTGGTGAAGTGGGGGCTACTCACAGCCCGGATTAGGAGCAAAAAAAAAAAAAAAGTGCACAAAATGGTGCCTGCAAACAATACAAAGTAGGTACAAGAAAAAAAGAAAAAGAAAGGAAAATGAAAGGAAAAAAAATCTTCGCCATCCCTTTGGGGCCTCATTGGCCACGAAAACATAAAAAGAGTGGAACAATGAGTAAAATCAATCACAAACAAATTTTAAACGAAATGGAACAGGCGCGATGAAGGTATTCCCATTTGGCAGATCAAAAGTGAAAAAAACGAACTGGACAAATGGGATTAACAAAAGAGGGGCGCGAGATGTGGTATATAGGTACACATGTGTATATATGCACAGATGAGGAAAAAATTAAAAATTAAGATTAGGAAAATGTGGGGGGCTCGCTAAAACAGAGGTGTTCCAAAGTGGGAAAGAAAAAAACAGTCATCAGTAAGTACGCAATGTATACACAGCGGTATACATAGCTAACTACACACATACAAAAAAGTTCCTGTTATATGGAAAATGAATTGTTGAGGGTGCAAAAAATCGCGCCGCTTTCTTCTGCCTCTTACTTTAGCGCCCACTCCATCTGGACAAAATTGATTCAATTCGGGTAAGCACTACTTTTCCCGATCCGCTTCACTTATGTTGTTATTTTCATTTCGATACACATTTAGGGAGAGGTTGCCATAATTAGACGCACTGGAGAGGTTATACATCTGGGACGTGAGATTATTCTCGTTGCTGACCTTGTCCAAGTTATGGCTGGTGAAGGAGCCGTTTTCGGAGAAGCCGTTATAGTTGTAGTTGTCCAGCAAATTCTGCACGTTGAAATTCTGCTTAATGTTTAAATCGTGGAGGCTGTTTAAATCGATGGGCGCATTGCCGTGCGCGTCGTGGTTAGCGCTTAACAAATTTTGACTGAAGTTGGATTTTCCGTTTACGTCGAGTTTTCGCAGGAGATTACTCATGTTGCTTGCTAGGCTGTTTTCATATCCTGGTACATTATTGTTGCTGTTTATTCCAGCATCTAAACTGTGCACACTAAAATTGGAGGCACCAGGGACAGCGCCCATGCTGATCGCGTCACCAGCGTTATCCGCGTTGCCGGCGTCTACCATATGGGAAGCGTCCCCTATGTGCCTCAATTTCGCGACATCTAACGATGCGCTGTACGAGTTCACGTGAGAATTGTTTATATAATTTTGAGAAGCCTGGTAAACGGAGTTACTGCCGCCGCTGTTGTTCATGTAACTGTTCAGTATGTTTGAGTACTTGTCAATTAACGCGTTGTAGTTGTTATTGGCGATGCCTCCGCGATTGTAGCTGCCGGCATTCCCGTAGTTGGCGTCGTTACCGATTCCGTAATAGCTGTCGGCATTTCCATATCGGCTGAGGCTGGGGGCTCCATTTAAAACGCTTTTTAAAACACTTCTGTCTACCGATTCGGACATGCCGATTCGGCTGTACTGGTTTATGCCGCTCCGCTGCATGCCCCACTTCTCTTCAACATCGCTATGCAACAAATTGCTAAACTTGTTAATTACTCTCTTTTTTAAAAAATCTTTATTACTACCAAGTTGGTTAGCATCATTCGTGTAGTCCACCCCGCGGATGTGATGCGATAGGCCACTTATCAGTCTGTTCGCGTAATTTTCTTTCCCCTCTGCGTGGTAATTATCGCTCGAGTTCACGTTCTCAATGCCTATGTACTCCATTTTGTGGTCGTCCCTTTTGTTGCTGTCCCGTCTGTTATCACCCACGCTGCTCCTTACGGGACTGCTGCCCACCGCATTGCCGAGGTCCGATTTACTTCCCTCGATCGGGGGGCCCTGTTGCGTTTGCTCATTTCGGGTTCCGCTGTCTTTTAGGGAAGCACCAATCGATTTAGCATTCGCCACAGAGTCCTTTATCTTCCTTACATAATTGTTAAAATCTAGGGTAGTTAGAAAGTGAACAAGGTAGGCGTGGTTGCTGTTGGAACTTATGTTAACCATTTCGTTCATGACACTGACTAGCTTTTCATTAAAGGTGTCATTATATTGTAGTAACTTTTCAATAACTTGATTTAAATCATTATCCTTCTCTTCATGGTTGTCATTATGTTGCTCGTCCTGCTCTTCTGCCATGTCTCCTTTCTTTGTTTTGTTTTTCTCCTGCTCATCCACCAGTTCGTAATTTAATATATCCGTGAACAACTCGTTTTCTATTAGGCACTGGAAGAAGTAGCAGAATTTGAAGGAGGTGTCTATCAGCTCCAGCAAAGGGTTTGTTATATCTTGAACCCGTAAGAAGCACTTGGTGGCTACCTGCGAAAGGTATAAGTCATGAATCGACTTGGTGTACTCAAAATCTTTCGATTTGTGAATTTGTGTAATCATCAACTTGTATTCGTAATTAATGATGTCCTCTTGCAAATACTTAATCAAATGGAAAAAAAAAAATTGCATCTTATATCTAATCGAAAACAAGTGAGAAAATAGCAACCCTCCTTTTTTAAAATTCAAATACTTGTACAAATATCTATTATGGTAGCATAAAATTTTCAAATTGTAATAAATTCTGCCCAGGAGGAAAAGAAACTGGAAAATTGAATTGTATGTGTAGATGGTACTCGTGTTGATAATCAGAGCTATTGGCCATGTGAGTTTGAAATATATCTCTATGTTATTCCACAAGTTCAGTCCACTATGAATTTGTATGTTCTTATTTATCTGCTTGTCATAAAATATCAGTGTTTCGTTGTCTATATCAATTTCGGGAATCTCTATTGGGGACTTGTAAGACTGGTGGAACCATTTGTATATTTCCACTGAGCAGTCATAGGAGCTGAACAAAAGCGCATTTTTCATTTTATCTCTAGCGCAGCTGATCATCTCTGGGGCTGATTTCCCCTTCTTCTGGCTATTCTCATTTCTGTACAGAATCATTTTGTTGATATTTCTCATTTCGTTTTGTATCGCTTCCTTATTCTTTTCGTCTCCCATGTTAAAAAAATTCCTCTTGTAAATAGGCGAGCGGACATTCAGCGTCTCACTGTAGAACTGTTTGAACCACTGATTCAGTTTGTTCTTCTTTTCCAACAACTTATGTTTAAATAAAATGGGGCAGGTATAAAATCCTATGTAGCCATTTCCAATGTCGAGGGTGAAGGCTTGTGTCATGTCTAGTGCTCTGATATGGATAATTGGCTTAATTTTATTTTTCGGGTTATTCAGCTGGAGGTTATACTCATCCAGTTTCTGTATGTACACACTAAAGGAATGCTTCAGGCAGTTAATTCGCACCCGGAATTTTGTTAACGTGTTTTTATTTATATTATAAAATGTCTGTTTATTACTCTGAATCTTCAGCACCGGCTTCTTTATAGCTTCGTCGTAATTCCCTTCCACATCTTCACTCATGAGGTCATCCTGATTTGCTGCATCTGCACTGTTGGCATTCCTCTTTCGTAAGTAACCTTCATCGTTTTCCATATCTTCGTATAGCCTCTTCTTTTCGTGGTTTACATTGTCTGCCCAAAGTTTGTTGTTCAGGATGGATTCCCTTGCGTAGTCCACGGTGTAGCTGTTGCTGTTGTGGACAAAGGAGGATATTCCTTTCCCCCCTATGTAGAGAGAAACCTCCACTTCGACATCGCCCAGTATTACATTGTTGTGGTTGTCCCCATACTGAACAGGGTTAGCTGTTTGCTGGTCCGACGAAGCATCCTCCTGTGCGCCATTCTCCTTTTGGTAAAATTTTACTTTTATTTCAACAGAAAGGCAATCCCCCAGAGAGCCCCAGTATCCCAAGGAGCTGTGCAGCACGTCCGTTTTGTAAAGCAGCGGGTTCTTCATTGAATGGATAACCAAGGCGAAACAGCAGCCGAGCAGGAAATTCTCATCTGCAAAATCCTGTTTAGCATTACCACTCACAGCCCCGCTTTTCACGTTTGTCCCATTATTACTACCTATGTCGGCAAATTTGTTATCGAAAAAATTGTTAAAATTTACAGAAAAATCAAAGCCGTGCTTGAACCCCCTCAGTATCTGTTGCCGGTAATTGTTGACGCACACACTGAACACGTTATCATAATCGTAGTACTTTTTTTTGCTCAAAGTCTGTATACCCTTGTAAAAATCATTTAGAATGATCTTTTTGTCATACATATAGCACATGCCACCTAGTACCAAGTTGTCATACTTTTCTCTTTCGAAAGAATCGTACGAGAATTTTTTGTAAGATATCCTTGGGTAGAAATATTTAGAAATAATATTTTCCGAATTGTCACTGTCAAAATGGTATCCATTTGTGCTACTAAAAAAGGTGGACTCATTTAAGTCCCCGTTGTCTTCTCCAAATAGTACGTCATCTTCATATTTCTCCAGGACTAATTTGTCCTTTTTATTTTCATACTTGGCTTTGCAGTACTCTTCTACTGATAGGGATGAGTTTTTCCATGCCAGCACTTTTAGAAGAATTTCATTTTTCGAATTCGGGGGGGTATGCATGAGAGACCAGGACTTTTCTAAAAAATAATCATAAAAGTCTCCATTGTTCAGTAAATAAATATCCCTAAAGAGATCGAAAATTTTAATCAAGTTGATGTCCTTGACTACATATTTCCACAACTTGTATGCTATGATGCTTCTTATCTTCTCTATCGTAATGTCGAATATTTCTTTGCAGTACAGATTTATGGTTTCATCTTTATTACCTGCCGAGGAAGATTCATCGGAGCAGTTGTAAGAGGTGTCCGAGCTGGAAATGTTTAAAGAATGTAAGTAGTGGTTCGTGTTGGAGGTAGGTTCACCCATCGTAGTACCCACACCGCTTGTTCTGTTCAGCCCCTGTTCACTTCCTACACCCTTGTGAGGCTTCATCGGAGTGGTCACTTGCTCCAAATTTGCAACTTCTTCATACCCCGCAGTTGGCGAAGCTTCATCAAACGCTTTGGACAAAATCTTGGTGATCGCGAAAAGCTTCACAATATCGCTGGTGTTCCATTTATTGCTCCTAATTAGTATTCGAATTGACTTCCCTATGAAGAGGATTTTACGACCAATCACCTTGTCTAGACAGCAATCAGGCAAATTTGAAACGGATTGAAAGAATAAGTAGTTCCATTCAAAATTTAAGCTTTGGACATTGGTTAATGTTAAATTTTCGTACAATTCTTCAGGGGAGAGAAAAATCTTCTTATCATCAGAGTATATGAATTGCCTTTTCTGGATAAAAAATTCGTAATAGGGGTCTAGCAGCTGGCCATAAAGTATCCAGGAAAATATTTGATGGAGTAAGATTTTCCCCAAATTTTTGAAATACCTATGATATATACCTTTAATTCGTGAATTCCCGCTCACACAATTTTCGTATAGGTAGTCCATAATTTCTTTTGTTTTGTTTCTACTTTCTCCTTCCAGCACATTTTCTTCTTCCTTCTTTTGAAATTCTAAATAATTTTTTATAATATTTATAATTATGATAATTTCTTCTCTATTTTTTTCTAACATGGTTAAAATTTGTGTTAATGGGGTGTTGCTGTTGTTATTTATGTATTCCTCGATCTCGCTAATTTTTTTCATGTACCTCCTCATGAATTTACTTATTTCGTTGCTGATACCATTTGCGTAGTATCCATACGGACTTACACTATTTAAGCTTTTGATGTTTTTTAAAATTACACCAAAGTAGTTATCTATTTGTTTTTTTTTTTCGTATCGTTCTTCCTGGTTAGAATTGTTCAAATGATTACTGTCTTCCGATTCGTTGTCAGAAGATGATTCATATGAGGAACTGTTCGACGAGGAACTTGCAGTGCTGGAGATGTCTTCATCTCTTTGCAGCCTTTCTCTCGTGCCACCTTTCCCCTTCCTTCCTTTTCTCTCTTCACTTAATTTGTTAAACTTGTGTACGTGCGTTAGGTTTTTATAAATCGTGTTCTTTTTAACTAGCAAGCAGAAGATATTCATCACGTAGAAGTAGTAACCCAACTGTACAATGTCGTTGATTATTTTTATTTCTGAGTTTAGAAAAATGTGAATGTTGTTATTTACTTCAAAGCAGTATTCATCTATATTTAAGTTACTTTCCTTTTTCGTTTTATTCCTCCTTTTATCCGCTAAAATTATGATGTCCCCCGTTTGGCCTATAAGGCTAAGTATGATCTCGTGGATCATCTTCGCTTCAGGTGTAATTCTCAGGGGGGTGAGTGGAACGGGAATACGTAAACACGCACATGCACGTAGGTAACACTATGCTTTTATGTGGGAATACCTTTCCGTGCGCATATGTACGAAGGTACATAGATACCACTTAAGAGTGACATTATGCAAAAGATTTGGTGGGTTTGATCGGGGGGGCTGGGAGCTTGCTCATAAACGCTCATAAGCTTGGGCTTCCCAGAGTTGTGCCTCCTCCGTTATTTTTTTCATTTTCTGCTTTTCTCCTTGTTTTAACACTATGCCGATTCGTGCCCTTTTGTTATAATTCAAAAGCCTGCTTCGTGTCCTTTTTCTTTTTTTTTATCCCTTTTAATCTTCTTTTTTAGTGGACTTTTTTTTTCTTCTTTTAAATAACTTTTTATACTTAAAAAGGTATGTCAAGTCCTGCGGCTTTTTTTTTACACATTGGGGGAATTATATCAGGACCGGACCGTGGTGCTAATATAATATTTTTTCTTACATTTAGAGGTTTACACAAATTGCGAAAAAGTAAAAATAGTTTACTTTAGTAAAGAAGTAACAATTTTGGGGAAATGTTGATATTCGTAAAGAAAAAAAAAAAAATTTAGTAGTAACAAAACATCAACATTGTGTCATATGGATAAAAAAAAAAATTACACAAAAAAAAAAAAAGAAAAAAAAAATTCATTACATAATGTTAAAATTAAAATCCAATAGAAGAAGAAAACGAGTAGGAATTAAAGTATGGCAAAAAATGGGTAAATAAAAATGGGGTCTCAAATCAGTTATCGTTACAATTAATTCGTGAATGAAAATTACGCATTTACGCAGCTTATATGCGTACGTACGTGCGTATGTACATAAGGGTATATACAAATGTACACCATACGTACACATTGGAGGGTAAAAATATTCTCTACATTTTTGTAGGAAAAATGCGAGTTGGCACTTTCTCCTGTATCTTGTCGTGTCGACAAATTGTTATGCTTTCCTACGTATACAACGTCCACCAATTAAAAGAAAAAACTCTTTAAATATTTGTTATAAACCACGTCACATTTCATCTGCAGGTCTAGTAAATCCCCATCATTGTTTATGATAATATCCGCGTACTTGATTTTCTCATCCGTTGGTAACTGGTTTCTGCGGAAAAGAGGGGGGAAATAAAAGCTTTTCCCTAAATTCATCGAATTGAGGATTCCGGTAAATACGTACGCACGTACACACGGACGGGTTGCACGTAAGCAGGCGCACGTTGAGGCGTATACTTCCCCGCGTTTATTAAGCAAAGGGGGGCAATGCGACTTGCAATACATGTGAACAAACATTTTTTCCGCACAGTAATTGGGGCGAAAAGGCATTCCCATCATTGCATCAGAGCAGCAGCGCATCAGCGTATCAACGCAGTGGCCCATAAAATTGCGCGACGAAGAAAACGCAATGGAGCTCATAAAAAGGAGAAGCACGTGTAAACATATGCACATACGTAGTTATTACATATAGACCCCCTTTTATGCGTTAAACAGTGCATCGGGCGAAATCGGAGGCGCTAAAAAAGCTGACGCTTTTTTACAACCCTTACCTGATTATGCTCATTGCCGTGTCGTACGTACAGTTCTTGTCTCGAGATAATATACGCGTTATCTGATTCTTCACGGACGACTTAAGAAGTATAACGGGGCTGGTTAATAAATACAATTTGGTTTCAATTAACAGAGGCGCCTCTATCGCTACATTATATTTAAAGTGCAAAATTTTATACTTTAAGCATTGCTTAATTATCTGTATTATTATATACGTGTGGGTGATTTTATTGATGTACTTAACATTTTCCTCATTGTTAAAGACAATTTTTCGTAGCAAGGTTCTGTTAATAGACTTGTCACTGTTCAGGATTTCCTCTCCAAAATGCTTCAAAATTTTTTTGTAACATGTTGATCCCTTTTTGTATATCTGGCTCGTTATTTCGTCTGCATTAATGACAACCACGTCTTTTTTTTTTAGAAAATTACAGAATGTTGACTTCCCCACTGCAATCCCACCTGTGATACCGATTAGACATAGATAGTTTCCCAAAAAAAAATTAAATATCCCTAATAGACCGAAAAACTTATTTATATAAATTAAGAAACTGTTGATAACTATTGTGCTGACCAGGGCATATTTGTGATTCTCTATTTTCTTGAATTTGTTTTTTCTATTTATAAACCCAATAGGAATTGAACCTAGTGCCAGTAAGCATGGAACACATTTGTCCAAAAAGAATGTTAAAAACATAATTGTCTCCTTCCTGTTGAGTCATATTTTTGTTTATTTCTGCGCGGCCATTGTTTTGGCTGATCACTTCTGCGGTTTGTCTGCGCATCGCAATTCTTCGTAGCGGTTTTTCTTAGCCGCTCTCCTGCACAACTTTCCTTTGCAATTCACCTTTGCAGCTCTCCTTTCGGGTTCCCCTTTTTCTCACACCTTCCTGGGTCACCTTCTCCCGCTTCACCTCTTTTTTTCTACTTTTTTTACTTGGCGGGTGCGTACACAAAGGAGCGTCCCCTTATTCTTCCGATGCACCTACCCTTATATTACTTAATCACTCTTGCAATATTTGTAAATCTTTTCCTGTTCAAAAATGGGCTATTCACACTACAGATGGTACAAGTACACAGCAAAGAAAAATCCGTTTTTGTTTTGTCTATCGTGTGCATAAATCTACAAGGGGGCATGACAAACGTGAAACGTCTACATGTCAGCGTACATAGGTGTTGGAGTTTGATAAAGAAAAAGGAAATTAACGCATTGCATACACATGTGCGCATATACGTACTTACGTACAGGCGTACGCACGCAAGTACGAAAGTTTACTCCTCAACACGGAAATCACACGTTTGAAACACAAAAACAAATCACTCGAAATGGACTGATACAATGGAACTGACCAACTATAGGACTGTGCGTTTCATTTATCATTAATCACATGACGAAATGGAGCAAAAAAAAAAAAAAAAGATATTCATAGGGGGTTAAACTCGTCATCCTAATATACGTAATGCTTCAACGTGTGCGTAATTATATCATAAAGCGTGTTTTTATATGCATTTCTTTATTTTTTTATTTTGCTTATAAAATGTGATAAACTCACACTTATTCATGCTTATGCATATTGTTATTAACTCTGAATGGGATTTTTTTTTTTTTTTCCAAAATTAAAAAAAAAAAAAAATCATTTGTAAAAATAAAATATAATCGTTTGAATGTAGATTTTTTTAAGTACACAATATACAATGCATAGCTTTGCTTATAATTATTTCTTTTAAGAGGGAAAGAAGTGGTACACGTGCGCGATTAAAACATGTAAAATCAAAAATTACGTTTTTCCAAATGTACACAATTGCCTACATACGTACAATAAACAGTGCATACCTGTTTAACCCATATGCATGTTGGATATGCAAAATCGACGCCACTGCTCTGCTACACTATGCTGTGCCACGTTATGTCCACTTTCATGCATACATATTCCCACGTCCGCATTCGCGATCTCTTTGAATTCACGACTAAGAAAAAGAGGAGTGTTAATTACCGTTATCGCCAATTTTTTTCCTCAAGTCGGAAGTGGGCATTTTACATGTGGTCAACAAAATAAAACGTGTTTTTACTACTGCTTTATAACTAAAAAAACAAGGAATCTTACATATACGTCATGTTGACACATATGTGTTAAAATCAAATAATGTTTGTTAAACAAAATAGCGATGACAAGCACTAAACATACGGTTGTTAAAATATTGCAGTTGGAGTAACGTAAAAAATGAACACATATTTTGTGTTGATGTCTGCGTGGATAATTATGCTAATAATGCAGAGGTGCAGAAAAAAATATTTAGGACACAAAAAAAAAAAGAAAAAAAAAACTTAAAGTGTGAAAGAGCAATTCAATGAAAGTAAAATGATAAAATAGTGATATAATCGCGATACAGTAACGATAAAGTGACTGCGCCAACTGGCCCCACTGCGTAGCCGGGCGCAAAATGGACTTCCTCTCATATAAGTGGTTTTCAGGGGGGGAGGAAATAAAACTGTAGCGGCTTATTCATGCGTCAAAACGTACGCACATGAACAATTAGGCCTTCTCGTTTATCTTTCCTTTAACCGATGATTCGAATAACTGCTTTAATAGATAGACCACTAAAGGGGAAACAAAATTGAACTGCGTCAAATGGTTTGCGAAACAAATAGCATTGTTAGTGTGCTCAAAAAAACAGTTAATTTTATTTGGCAGACTTTCTTTTATTCAGAATGTCGACAATATTATGGGCCACGTTCATAATTCCATTTAACTGCAATCCACATTTGAAACATTTTTTATTTTTCTGAAACATTTCAATGAAACACTTTTCACAGAAATAATGGAAACATTCAGTGACACTTGGGTTCATTTCGAGTTTCCATTTCTTTTTGCATTTTATGCAAGCAAATGGTAGATTATTTTCGCCATCACTCAAGTCGCTGTCAGAATTTTCCTTTTCTGTGCAGGAAGAAACAGCAGATGAGTCGGGGGATTCCCCCATATTATTTTCTCCTTCAATTTCCACACCTTTCCCGTGTTCTCCATCGCCTCCTTCGCAGTTGCCCAATATTTCCTCCCTCTCTTTTAACTTTCGCAACATTTTTTCGTTCCATTTTTCTAATTTTTCCTTTCGGAGAGCTTCATTTCGCTTCCGCTTTTCCTCATACTCTTGTTCAATTTTCCACCCACTTTTGTAATCACTTCTGTCGTGTAAAAAAATGCACGTGTCTCCAAATCCGCAATAACCCGTTTCTTTGTAGTCCTTACATATGCACGGTTCATAGTCAATCCGCAGAGTGACTCTCACATTCGCGCCGCTATTTCGTACCGGGCCGTACAATCCTGTGTATTTATTTTTGGCCAGGCTATCTTTGCTGATCATCAGAGCTTTTTCGTGAGCATCCTTTCCTCTATAAACATTGTCCTTTAAGTT